GGCTCTGGCACGGGGTAGGGGCGGCGAGACATCGGAGAGGGTCGGAGGGAGGATTGAGGGAATCACGATGTAACACGGTGTGTGTACGGACAGGTCCACCAGGGATAGGCTCCACCAGGGATGGGCCATGGGCTGGTCAAGCCATGGGCCACGACGGACCGCGTGCAGCCAAATCGTAACCAAATCGTAGTCAGATGGAAACGTAACCAAATCGTAACCAAATTGGATATAGCGTAACCAATTCGTAACCAGATTTAATAGTTTCATAACCAACTCATAACCAAATCACATTTCGGAATCAAACTGCGCGCAACCAAAGCAAAACAATGCACCCCTCTCATACGAACTTGGCTCAACAAGAAGCCGATTTGGTTACGCACGTGCAGGCAACAAACCATTGTAAAGTACAATACTTTGGGCGCGTGATTTGGTTACGATGTCTTGTCTTCTGGGGAGGGGTCCAGGGCCTCGAAGGGTCTCGAGGATCGGCTGCATACGTGCCCAGACATGCTCGCGCCGTAAAAAAATCAGGGCGGAGGTTTTTCGCCGTTTTCGGCCCCGGGGGGCCCTCGCCGGGTCCCGGGATTCAAAACCGGTCCCGGGGAAAGGGTCGGGACTTCGGGGGACGCCGTCCTGCAAAAATCAGGACGTCGCATGTCTGGGTACGCACTGTTCATGTCCAGTTCTTCGAGGTTTCTTGGATTTTTTGGGAGGGCAAGATCCTTTCATCTCCAGTTGTTCTATCCTGGGCCTCTTCCTGGCCACTGGGGGGCCCAGGAACAAGTAGAAACGAGCACACTTAGAAATGAGCACGATTAGAGATGAACGACGTGTAAGAGTGACCCTTCGCCGGAGTGACCTTGGGTGCGGGCTCATCGGGGTCCCCCAGATCGCTGAGCGCGACGCGATAGCAGCTGCTGATTGCGCGCTCGGATTTGGCCGCTCTGCGCCGCCTGAGTCCGCGCACCAAAAGTCACTCCTGCCTAGGGTCACTCTTGCCTAGGGTCACTCTTGCGTGCAGCCGCGAAAACCCGAGGCGGGGGCTTGCCTCAGTTTTCGACCTCTGGGGGCCCTCGCCGGGCCCTGGGCCGGCAAAAGACGACTTGTGAAGGGCTGGCCCCGGGAAAAAAAAGAGCCCAGATCACCCGGAACCCCTCGGGGGTGGACAGAACGCCCACCCTGGCACGTCGATTGGTGAATTGTCCGTTTTCGGTTTTCGAGAGGGCGCCGCGGCCGTCATTCTCCAGGCTGGAGCCCGCCAGGTTTGGGCCCGAGGTCGTTTTCATTAAAACACGTCCCACTAAAGGGGGCTTCGTCCATCCCCGAACCCCGCAGTGAGAAACTCACGACACTGGATGCCTGGGAAGGGCCAAAGCGACGGTCGGTGGAGAAGAGAGGAGGAGGAGGGGGGAGGAGGAGGAGGGAGGAGGAGGAGGAGGGAGGAGGGAGGAGGAGGAGGGGGAGGAGGAGGAGGAGGAGGAGGGAGGAGGAGGAGGAGGAGGAGGAGGAGGAGGAGGAGGAGGAGGAGGGAGGAGGGAGGAGGAGGAGGAGGAGGAGGAGAGAGGAGAGGAGGGAGGAGGAGGAGAGGAGGAGGAGGAAGGAGGAGGAGGAGGAGGAGAGGAGGAGAGGAGGAGGAGGAGGGGAGGAGGAGGAGGGGGGGAAACTACTTTGGTATATGGCGTGCCGCGCCGCCGGCGCATGGCCCACCGCGCCTCGGCGCGACACGCCGTCCATCTCGCGACCCCCCGCGGCGCCCACGCGCAGGGAGCCCTTCTCTGCTCACTCCGCGGAGCGGAGCGAGACGCTGCCAGCTCGCACGGCCATAGCGCGTCGCCAGGGCCACCGCCGCGACACGCCCAGCGACAGCTTCCGACCGGAACCTGCCCACGGGTTTCCTGCTGAGCCCATTCGGCGCCTGGGCCCGCACGGCCGCCGCACGGACTCAAGAGCGAGCCCGTTCGGCGGTCGAGCGGGCTCCATCCCCACGCACATGTCGGGATTGGGCCTATTCGGCTGCCCACTCGGCGGCCGAACGTGCCCGAACGCCGAACCGGCTCAGAAGGGAACCAGGGGTTGAATGACGCGCGGCGCCCCTGCGGCAGAAGACCCTCAGAAACTCCAAATGGGGGCCACGACGCGTGGCCGCGATGGGGTGCCCCGACGGGCCGCCGATTTCGTGGGCGTGAGAAAGGCTGGGCCCAAGCTGTGCGGGCAGCTTTCGGAGGTCCGCGCGGACTTCTCGGATCGGCGCGCCGGGGGCGGCGCAGGAGGCGCCGTCGGAGGGGACCCAGCGCCGATCCAAGAAATCTGCGCGGACCTCCGACAGTTTGAGGTTGTGCCGTTCCCCAGCCGACTGGCCAAGGTGGCTATAGAGGGAGGAGGCGGATGAGGAGCAGGAGGAGGAGGAGGAGGAGGACGACGACGAGGAGGAGGAGGAGGATGAAAAAGGGGAGGAAGAGCAGGAGGATGAGGAGGAGGAGGAGGAGGAGGGGGAGGAGGAGGAGGAGAAGAAGAGTTCAAGAGAAGAGCTCCCAGCCCGCCTCGCACACGCCCTGCATTCAGCCACGCGCAGAGGGAGGTGGGGGGAGGGGGGAGGGCTTCTTAGAAGCACCCCTGCTTCTCAGAAGGCGCGGGCCTTATCTTTAGATGTAAGGCTGGCGCCTTCTAAGAAGCAGCCTCCTTCTAAGAAGCCCTCCTCCCTCCCCCCACCCCCGTGTGCGCACCGCCACTGCACACCACGCGACCACTGGGCCCAGGGTGTGCTGGTGCCCTCCTGGGTGCCCCGGCCCGTGCCTTCGACGAGGGACGGCAGCACAATTGTTGCGGCCGCCAGGCCAGAAGTGTGCCGGGGCTCCCTACCCAGACCCCCTCGATGATGGGCCTGTTTTCCGCCACCACCACCACCACCATCAGTTGGAGGGGGACGAAGAGGAGGAGGACGAAGAGGAGGAGGAGTGGAGTGGAGTGGAGTGGAGTGGAGTGGAGTGGAGTGGAGTGGACACCATCACGAGTGTGATCCTGACGAAGCACCCGAACTCATAGCACACTCTCGAACGCCAGACCTGCGCCAGCCTGCCTCAGGACCTTGGGATTTGAAGCCCGCGTGGTCCTGTGAGAAATCCCTTGCCATGTGCCGAAACTTGCCCGCCGTATTCAACCAAAGTCACGCGCACGACAGTACAGAACTTGGACCCAGAGAGGCCTGCACAAGATCAAGTACCGCTCAAAGCTGCAGAATACACGCACCCATAACCATCAACTCACATTTGCTTACACTCCTGCTGCTCACTACTTCGGGTGGCGGCAGCCCAATCGATCACAGCCGAACCACTAGGCAGGAAAGAAGCGGCCTGCCCTCCCCGAAGAGTCTCAGCATCTCGTACAAGTCTCGCTCTAATAAAACTGTTCTCCCAATCGTTGAGCTCAGAATTCTCTCCCCCCGTCTCGCCCGCCCTGGTCGCAGCACTGTAGCTGATCACGTCGGGCTGCAACTTCGCCCCAGACTTCTCGCACGCGCTGTGAACAGGATGGTGACTAGGGGTGGAGGCCGGCGGCCGTTTCGCTTCCAACCACGCCTTGGAGATGCACGCTCGGGCGGCCCACCACACTGCTGAACTCGAAGATCCACCAGGTCGTAGGGCAGCAGCGTCGGCCACGGCAGCAGCGTCGGCCACGGCAGGGCAGTGATCCCCCGCAGGGGCCCTCACGTCGGCGCCCGTCGCCTCTGCTGCGGCAGCGCCCGCGGCGTCCTCGGCAGGGCAGTCATCCCCCGTAGGGGCCGTCTGGGCTGCGATCCCTTCCGCCGCCGCTCCGTCCACCTGGCCACCGACCGCCGCGACCGCGCCTGAGGAGAACACCGTGGTCCCGCAGGTGCAGACGAGGCCCGTGCAGCGCGTGTGCGCGAACGGCTCGAAAGGCTCCCAGTAGCCCGCCGACGGAACGAACTCGGTTGCCTCGGCGCGCAATGGAGTCGCATCCGCCTCGATCATCCCCGTCCGAAGGTCCAGCTGGCGCCCCTGCCTCCGTTGCACTCGATTGAGTGCCCTGAACGATAGGTCCATGAGCTGGTCCATGGGGAGGTTGAAGACATGCAGCGCGACGTTGCGCAGCACCTGCTCCCTATGAGAATGGGCAGGTGTGGCACCTCGCCTGGCAGCCTCGACCTCCTCGACGAGAAAAGGCAGAATGGCATCCAAGCGCCGTCGTACTTCAGGGTCGTCTGCCCATCTGCTGCGCTCCTGCAATACGTTCTTCTCCGTAATGAGTTTCCTGACCAAATTATCGGCCGACAATGCGGCAAGCGCGCGTCGCTGCCGCCGAGCTGCAGCCGCGCCAATCACATCTTCACGCCACACACACACACGGGGCGGGTCCCGCAGCCAGTTCATGCCTGCTCCCAGTATCCGGCGCCATGAGCTAGCACATAGAGCCAAGATGTTGGGGCGCGGCGGCATGAGCCAAAATGGCTACGGACGAAGAGGAGGAGGAGGACGAAGAGGAGGAGGAGGAGGAGGAGGAGGAGGAGGAGGAGGACCCCCCCACTCCAACTTATGGTGGTGGTGGTGGTGGAAAACGCGCCCATCATGCCCAGACCCCCTCGAGCCATGAAAAATCACGACGGCAGGTTTTTCGCCGTCTTCGGCCTCTTGGGGGCCCTCGCCGGACCTCGGGGCCGTCAAAGCACGACTCGGGAGGAAAAGCCGGTCCCGGGGAACGGGTCCGGCCCTCCTTGGGGGTCGCGCCATGAAGACATCATGACGTCGGGGGTCTGGGCAGGCATCCCGCCTCGCACTCTCTCCTCCTCCTCCTCCTCCTCCTCCTCCTCCTCCTCCTCCTAATCCTCCTCCTCCTCCTCCTCCTCGTCCTCGTCCTCGTCGTCCTCCTCCTCCTCCTCCTCCTCGTCCTCCTCCTCCTCCTCGTCCTCCTCCTCCTCCTCCTCCTCCTCCTCCTCCTTCCTCCTCCTCCGCGCGAGGCGCGGCGCCTTTGTTCGTGTCCTCCTGGAGGCGGTGGCGGCCGGAGCCGCCCGTGGAGCCCGTGCCGGCGGGCCTGTTACCCTCCGCGGCCGCGCTGGTCGGCAAGGCCGCGCTCGTGGCGGCGGCGCTGGGGGCCAGCTGGGCCATCTTCGGCAGGGTGCGGGGCTTGCTGGACATCTCACCACCCACCAAACCACCCCAACCCAACCCGAAGGCCCAAATTTATCCTTGATTTCCAGTGGGGGGGGGTCGGGGAACATTGAAAAAACACATGGAACCCGTACCCCCCCCCAACCCGAAATTCGATTCAAATTCGGGTCTTCGGGTTGGGTTGGGGTGGTCTGGTAGGTAGTCAACATCAGCGTCGTCCAAGCCCAGACATGGTCGCGTCGTGAAAAGAAAATCAGGACGGGAGGTTTGTGGCTATTTTCGGCCTTTAGGAGCCCTCGCCGGATCTCGGGGCCGTCAGAAAACGACTCCGGATGAGAAACCGGTCCCAGGGAGTGGGTCGAGACCTCTTGGGGTCGTCGTCATGAACAAATCATGACGTCGGGCCTGCTGGACATCAGCGTCGTCCCAAGATGACGAAGCCACGTGAACATAAACTTTTGGCGCTCCGCGCGGATTTCTTGGATCCGCGCGGGGCCCCTCCGGCGGCGCCCCCGGCGCCCACCCTGGCGCGCTCCTGGCGCGCTCCGCGCGCCAAGGAGGGGGGGCTCCGCGTGGATCCAAGACATCCGCGCGGAGCGCCAAAAGTTTATGTTTATGCGTTTTTTCTTTTATCGGCTAATCTATCCCCAGACATGCGACGTCCCCATTGTTGCAGGACGGCGTCCCCAGAAGTCCCGACCCCTTCCCCCGGGCCGCCTTTTCACCCTGCGAGGGCTTCCAGAGGCCGAAAATGGCGAAAAACCTTCTGTCCTGAATTCTTCACGACGCGAGAATGTCTGGGTCCCTATCCCCGTCCTCACTGGGCCAGGTTCAGCATCGTCCAACCTATCCCCCCATGGCCAAGGTACCTCAGCCCCACCAGCCCGCCCTCCCACAGGCGGGATAGGCCCCTGCGAAACTCGAAGGAGCAGGATGGGATTGGCCCCAGGGTTCCACAGGACCTCCCCCCAATAGGATGGGGGGGGGACGACGACGACGACGACGACGACGACGACGACGACGACGACGACGACGACGACGACGACGTCCACCCTCCACCACCCCACGCCCTCCGGGCCACGACCACACGGGGGGGGTTGGGGGCGATCCGCGAATCGCGAGGCCCTCGCGAGGCCCACGGGCGTGCCCGTACAGCGGAGGGGAGGGGGGCGAGGCGGTCCCATCAGCATTGGGGGAGAGGGACCTTGGATCATACAGTGCCGTTTTTAATACATGCTCCGCGTGGGGATCATGTATAAACAATGCAGGGATTTAGCATTAAAACAACGATGAGCTCATGCATACAATTATTCATACATTGATCATGTATTAAAATCCGATATTAAACAAATCCGATGTATTAAACACTGCCCTGTATATTCCCACCTTGGTGGGTAAGTCGGCCAATCAGTCAGTGAGGGTAGGGATCGGCCAAACGATGCTCAGGACAGGAAGCTGCGGCGGCCGTACGACCCAGGGCGGGATGCGGGCAGCGTGGCCGACCCTGCGGCCGAGATGGAGAGGGTGGTCACCTTCATCCAGGATCGGAGGATGGCGAGTTGAGACATCGGCAGCTGGCCTTCCAGGAGATTCCTGGCCGCCGCGCTGCGCGCAGCTCGGGAATCTGCGCTTGGACCCCCGGGAGGGGTCCTGGAGGCCGATCTCGAGCCGCCGCTGCCTCCACCCGCCCTGCCCCGTCGCAGGACGCCGTCGTGCGGCCCATCGACTCGAGGCTCAGGGGCCATCCGTTCGGGAACGACCTGCAGGCCTTCCCCCTGACGCCGACGGTGCTGGTGATCGGCAACCACTCGTCGGGGAAGTCGACGTTCATCAACGACATGCTCGGCAGGCAGGTCCAGGAGCCGAGGCGGGGCCTCCTCCAAGAGCCGCCGCGCGGGGGCTCCGCGCTTCGGGGAGCCTCCGGCGGGCAGGGGCCGTGGATGTGCTCGGGCCCCTCGGGGGGCCACGGCGTGCTCGTGCCCACCGCCTCCCCCCCCCCGGGGGCCCCAGGGCGTCGCCTTCCCCAGGCGGTGGATGTGTCTACAGAAGCCCCCGCCTCGCCCAGGAGACGGGCGTGGCGCCGACCGACGACGGCTTCACGATCCTGGAGAGGGCCAGGCCTCCCGCGACGCCCGCGACCGAGGAGGACGGCCCGACGCTGCTGGGCTGCCCGCAGAACAAGCCGTTCCACGAGCTGCGGCGCTTCGGGGAGGCCTTCCTGGGGCACTTCCGCCGCAAGCGCATCCTGCTGCCCGACGGAGCCTCCATGCCCTACGGGCTGCAGCTCGTCGACTCCCCGGGCATGATCGACACGCCCGGCGATCGGAGGAGGGGCCTATATGTACCGATGCCGCCGCTCGTCCTGGAGAGCCCTCGTTGCCACGGCTGGATTCTCCTCGGAGGTATGGTCAGAGCGCACTCCGGGAGAGGGCGAGAGGACAGTAGCGGTAGAGGTAGATCTTTTTGGTCTTCTCCCAGGCGACGGCGTCCGAGGCAGGGGGTACGACTTTGTGAAGGTGGTGCGGTGGTGGGCGAAGAGGAGCGACCTGATCCTGATGCTGTTCGACCCAGACAAGCCCGGCACCACGGGGGAGAGTCTCGAGGTGCTGACGAAGTCGCTGTCCGGGCTGGAGTTCAAGTTCCGCATTGTCCTCAACAAGGTGTGGGGGGTACCAAACAAAGGTGTTCCTGGCCCCAAGGTGTCCCCAGATTTGCGCTCCATTTTGTACCGCATGGGACCCTCTGGGCCTCGCGAGGTGTGCTCGGGAGAATGATGGCCTCCTTGGAGGTCCTAGGGGGCGCCCATTTTTTTTGAACCCTTCGTTGACGGTATGAGCCACCTGTCGGTCGTTGAAAGTCTGAATTCTTCCATTCCAGATCACCATCTACTTTAGGCGTCTCCCTATTTCAAGGATCGAGTGGTGTTCCCTCTTGCTCTTCAGGGGGCGGACCAGCTCCACTCCCAACGCCTTCTTCCGACAGATGGGCGATGGATGCTTGAAAGGGTCAAGGGCTCTTTTTCAACCGCTCAGCGGACACTCCTGGCAACACCCGAGAGGTCGATGGGCTGGACAGCGTGGTTGACTTCGCGCGCGCCTACGGCACGCTGGGCTGGGCGCTGTCCAAGGTCATCCCGCGGAAGGACATCCCCCTCATCTACACCACCTGCAATCGGGCGTTCGCGGACCGGGCCCGAGCTTCGGTGCTCCCCCTGGACGAGTTCGCGGCGAGCCGGGACGACGTGGTGTCGGCCGTGTTCCAGGCGAAGGAGCGCCACTGGGACAACGTGATCACGACGCTGGAGCGCACCCTGCGGCAGGCGAGCGGCGCGGCAAAGAGCGGGTCGGCCGCGCACGGACATTTTCGTGCGCAAGCTGCCCGCGCGCAGGGTCGCACGTGAGCGCCTGCGTTTTTCCAGTGCAGCGCGCCGCGCCAGCTGCCCGTGGATGCCACCGCGCCGGGTCGCTATATGCCACCCTGCGTGAGACCCTTTCTTGCCGTCGCTCAGGTGGAGATGGTGGCCGCGATCCTCAGGAGGGTGCGCATGGAGGCGGTGCGCCAGCAGGTGGCGTGGCATCGCCCGGGCGTGTGCATGTTTCCCTCGGCGAGGGCCCTCGAGGAGCATCCTGGATCACCTGGCGGAAAAACAGCCGCGCGCGAAACCGGAAAAAAAGCACAGGGAAGGGGCGCCCGAGCGATGGCCAGGTGGTGGTGCCCGCGCTCGTCCTGGCCGCCGTCAGCGTGCCGGGGCTGGTCGGCTCCTGGGCGCTGCGCGGAGGGGCGCAGTCGGGGTTCCTCGGGGCCTGCTACGCGGTGGTCTACGTCTGCTGCGGGCCCTTCTGCTAGCCGGAAGCGCAGCTCTGTCCCTGCTCACAGCCCTCCCAGACCTCCTCGAGTCATGAAAAAATCACGACGGGAGGTTTTTCGCGATTTTCGGCCTCTGAGGGCCCTCACCGGGCCTCGGGACCGTCAAAAAAACGACTCGGGATGCAAAACCGGTCCCAGGGAATGGGTCTGGACCTCTGGGGGTCGCGTCATGAAAAAATCATGACGTCGGGGGTCTGGGCTTGCAGTTGCAGGTAGGAGTGAGGGGGCGGTGGGGTCGTCGGCAGCCTGCGAGGCTCTGAAGAAGGCCGCCGTCGGCGCCGACTTCATTGCACAACGAGCCCGCCGCAGGCAACGAGCGGTGGGTCGCGGGCGAGCGGGCGGATCGCGGGTGAGTTGCGGGCTGGTCGCGGGCAGGTCGCGGGTGGGTCGCGGGCGAAGACGACGACTACAAAACACAAATTCCAATAATCTTCGCCGCGGAAGCCCACTTCAGACACGCACCCAGGGATGGTGTAAGACCGTTCGGCCCCCTGTGAAGACTGGCATCGTCTCATCTCTGTGCCGCATCACCTCATCACTGTACCAATCTTCAGGATTCCCTTAGGTTTTTGAGGGCATGTCCCTGAGATTGTCATCGCTCTGGGTCTGTCAATCTTAGGGATCGGTTCGCCTGGCCATCTGCTGTGTTGGCTGTTCCTTTGTTTCCATGTAGCACTCTGTTCCGACAGGGGCCTTGGTTCGCTCGCGGCCAGCTGCATGTAGCCGAGTCGCTACCCCCCTCCTGTATCGTCCACCCCGGGGCGGAGCCAGCGCCGCCATCTCGCGCGAAAGGTGTGTGTGTGTGAGTGTGTGTTCCCGTCTTGTGGGGCCTCGCTGACACATCTGTACATTCATATGTGTAATGTAAAGACACACAGGTGTATAATGTTTATGTGTATATATGTGTGTATGTGTGCATTGATGCGGAACATGTCTGTGTATATATACATATATATATATATATAGATATCTCAGAGAGAGGGTGCCCGAGCGGTCTTACTCCGCCCCTGCTCGGTTTCGTTCGTCTTGGGGTGTATATACATATACATCTCGAGTGCATACCTACATGCGTGTGTCCTGGGGAAGTGGGTGACCTCGAAGCTGGTGAGGTCCCTGCTGCGCCTCAACGCGCACCAGTTCGAGGCGCTCCAGCGCGCCGAGGGCGGCCTGAACGCGGCCTTCGACAAGGAGTACAGCGAGCTCTTCATTCACGGCGACCGCGAGGACTACCGCGCGGATTGGGCGCTGGCCAGGCCGCTGGTGTCGACCATACTGAGAGCGACGCCCAGTCTGTCGCGGATGCGCTCGGCGACGCCGGAGCAGATCGCCAAGGTCCGCAATTGAGGAGGAGGAGGAGGAGGAGGAGGAGGAGGAGGAGGGGGAGGGGGAGGAGGAGGAGCAGCACCAGCAAGAGATGAGGAGGAGGAGGAGAAGGAGGAGGATGCAATGAAGGAAGAGGTCGGGGAGGCAGCGGAGACGGATGACGAGGAGGGGGAGGAGGTGGAGGAGAGGGACGGCGACGACGACGCCGCCGCCGCCGACGAAGGCGACGACGACGACGACGACGACGACGGCGACGACGACGGCGGCGGCCGAGGTCCGCGAGTGCCTCGAACGGGACGTCTGGTACCTTCGGCAGCTCGCCAGGGCCAGGCGCTTGTCCATGCAGGATCCAGGCGGCCCCAAGGGTGGCCGAAGCGGGTTGAGCTTCGACCATCTCGGGAGGAGGGAGGGGGTGGCATGGGCACGGAGGAGGACAGGGAGAATGGATGGAGGGAAGGAGGAAGGGAGGGATGGAGGATGAGGAGGAAGGAGCAGGGGGAGATATGCGGAGGGTGGGGGGGACGGAAGGCCAGAGGTGTGGGCGCGAGGGGGAGACTATCCGTCTGGCCGCGTCATTTTCTATCGGTCTTCCCCCGGGGCGTGAGCACACCCCCGATGAGAGAGAGATCTGGCGACAGGAGCCGTGGCCCCGAGCCCTCCTTTTTATTCGCCTCCTCCTCCTCCTCCTCGTCCTCCTCCTCCTCCTCCTCGTCCTCCTCCTCCTCCTCCTCTTCCTCCTCCTCCTCCTCCTCCTCCTCCTCCTCCTCCTCCTCCTCCTCCTCCTCCCCCTCCTCCATGGCAGAGTGTAGCTCAAACGTGCAGAGTGGAGTTCAAGCACGTGGGGCTCGAGTGGGCAAGACAGGCAGACGGACGCCTCTTCGCACCACTGCCCCGGTGCGGGCCCCCCCGCGCGAAGCCCGCTGCCCCTGTGGCGCCCTCGGCCGGCTGCGGGCGACCGCGGCGATGGGGCGCGGTCGGGGGGGCCTCCCGCGCGACGCGGGCGGGGCCGCGCGGAGGCCCCCCTGGGGGGCCCCAGGGAGAGGAGCAGAGGCGTCCAGGGCAGCTGGGCCCTCGATCCTCCTCCATCCTCACGTCCGCGCCCCTCCATCCTCCGTGCTCGAGCTTCCGTGCTCCATCCCCCCTCGTCCATCCTCGAGCCCTTTATCCCACCTCCTCGATCCTCGATCCCCCATCCTCGGTCCTTGATCCTCCTGGATCTTCGAGCCTCGATCCTGCCTGGGGGGGACGGGGCGCGAAGCTCATTGTGCCTTGCATCGGCGGTTGCTGAAGGTGTCCCTGGCCCAAGGTGTCCTCGTCTTTCCTCGTCGTTTCGGAGCCTCCTTGAAAATCCTGGGGACACTCTGGGCCAGGGACGCCCCTGGCAATACCCAGCCCTGGGGGATCTTGGATCACGCGGGGGCCGCTAATGGGATTGGGGTTTATTTGTGGATGCGAATGTGGGCAACACTTGGCCTATCCTCGCTCAGTGGGTTATCGGAGGTTGGGGGGTGAGATCGAAATGGAAAGGAGAGCCCCCCACCGGGAAATCGGCTTCGGTTTCGTGTTCGTGCGTGCCGTGCGTGCGGGCGAGGCGAAGTTGCGTGGCGGGGGAGAGGAAATTCTCCTGTGGCTGGGCCGCGGCTGGACCAAAAGGTTCTCCGCCCGGCAACCGGTGGCGCGTGGTGTGTCCCGCTGGTGTCCCGCTGGTGTCCCGCCGGTGTCCCCTCGTGGCTGGGCCGCGGCCGGACCAAAAGGTTCTCCGCCAGGCAACCGGTGGCGCGCGGTGTCCCGCCGGTGTCCCGCTGGTGTCCCGCTGGTGTCCCGCCGGTGTCCCGTCGTTGTCCCGTGGCGTCCAGTGGTGAGATCCACAGTGAGATCGATAGTGATATCGAATGTGAGATCGAGTGATATCGATAGGGATATCGTCAGTGGGATCGATAGCGAGATCCAGAGTGAGATTGACTGTGAAATCGATCGAGTGAGATCGATAGTGAGATCGATCGAGACAGATCGATAGTGGGATCGATGGTCCCATCGATCGTGAGACCGATAACGACATCGTTCGTGAGATCGATAGTGAGATCGATGGTGAGATCGATCGTGAGATCGACGCAACAATCACCACTGTTGCCCATTGCTGGCCCCCCTCCCCCCCAAACCTCCTTAACACCCGCAGAGTGGTCGTATAGGTAAGCGCCCTCGGGGGGTTAGATAGCTCCGCGAAGTGGGCGGAGCCCACCTAGCTCCGAAACTTACCCCCCAAAAAAGCATTAAGGCATTTGTGACCCACTGATATGACAGGCTCGGTCAGACATATCCCACCGTAGCATCCAGCACATCCGTCGTGGGCCCCGCGTGTTGCGAAAGTGGCACAGGGCGAAGGAGACTTGGAGCGCCACCCCGCGGGAACAGACTGTCGTGGCGGAAACTTGGTCCGCTTCTCGGCGCACGTTGTATGCTAGCAGCCCTGGTGATCCAGGCATCTGCGACCACAAGAGAACCCCACCCTGCGGGCCCACTCGAAGCCCGGACCTCCCAGCTGGGGCGTGCTTCGCTGCAGGCAGCCCTCGAGTTCTGACCCCCGGCCCTTCTCGCAGCTGCCCGACCTGCAGGGATGGGGCTCACGCGCGTTGTTGCCCGAGGGCCTCGGGGCGAGAAGCTCAATCGGCCCCTGCGGCCCCCTAGCTGCCCCCAGAGCCCAGACCCCCGACGTCATGATTTTTTCATGACGCGACCCCTCGAGGTCCGGACCCTTCCCCCAGGACCGGCTTTTCATCCCGAGTCGTTTTTGGACGGCCCCGAGGTCCGGTGAGGGCTCCCAGAGGCCGAAAACAGCGCAAAACCTCCCGCCGTGATTTTTGTCACAGCGCGAGGGGGTCTGGGTCCCCATAGCTGCCCCCTCAGAGGCGCCGTGCCCGCCGCCGCCGCGCCCGCCCCGCCGCCGCCGCCCGCGCCGCCGCCGCCGGCGGCCGACGGCCCGGCCGCCCCCGCCGCGCCCGGCAGCCTGGCCGCCCCGGCCGCGGAGCCCGCGGAGGCCGCCCCGACTCCAGATCCGCCCTACTTTGGCTTTTTGTCCAACGTAAAATTGCATCGGAAATCCACCTATAAGAGGCCGAAAAAGTAGGGCGGAAATTTCTGCACCCAGCAGAAGTATGGCGGAAGGAAGTAGGGCGGAAACAGCACAGAAAGTAGGGCGGAAACTGGCATCAGCGGGGCTTGAAAAGTGAGGCGGGAATTCCAAGCCCCACTTACGAAGTTCCCCAAAGTAGGGCGGAGCCGGAGTCAGGGCGCGGAGGCCTGAGCGCCTCGCGCCGAACCGCGCCGCGGGCGGCGCTGCCGCGCCGCGGATCGAGCGCCGCGCGCGGCGCCAGGAGAGGCCCCGCCGCGCGCCTCGCGCGCGCCGGGCGCGCGGGCCGCCGCGGGGCCGCCGCGGGCGGCGCCGCGGGAGCGCCGCCGCGGGGGCGCCGCGGATGCGCCGCGCGGGGCGCGCTCCTCGTTGGAGAGCGCCACGGCGGGGCCGCGGCGGGCGCGGGCGCCGCCGCGGGGGGCCGTCGGTGCGCGGCTGGCTGGCGTTCGGCAGCGCGGCGCCTCGTGTGGTGGTGTAGGGCGCTCGGGCGGCGGGATCGGCCGCCTGCGGGTCGCCGTCGCCGTCCTCGTCCTCGTCCTCGTCCTCCTCGTCGTCTTCGTCGTCTTCGTCGTCTTCGTCGTCTTCGTCGTCTTCGTCGTCGTCGACGTCTTCGTCGTCGTCGACGTCGTCGACGTCGTCGACGTCGTCGACGTCGTCGTCGTGGCTCACCATCGCTGTCGCCGTTGCCGTCGTCATCGTCGTCGGACTGGGGGGAGGTGGTAGAGAAGGAGGAGGAGGAGGAGGAGGAGGAGGAGGAGGACTAGAAGGAGGAGGAGGAGGAGGAGGAGGAGGAGGAGGAGGGGAGGAGGAGGCGGAGGAGGGGAAGGAGTAGAGGAGGAAGATGATAGGAGGAGAAGGAGGAAGAGGAGGAGGAGGGGAAGGAGGAGAGGAGGTTGGCGGAAAAGTAGGGAGAGGTGGAGGATTGAGAAACAAGAGTAGGAGGATAAGCAGGGAGGCGGAGGAGGAGGAGGAGGAAAGGAGTGAGGAGTGAGAGTGAGAGTGAGGAGTGAGGAGTGAGGAGTGAGGAGTGAGGAGTGAGGAGGAGGAGGGAGGAGGAGGAGGAGGAGGAGGGGAGGAGGAAGGAGGAGAGGAGGAGTAGGAGGAGGAGGGAGGGAGGAGGAGGAGTTGAGAGGAGGAGGAGGAAGGAGTGAGGTGAGGAGTGAGGAGGAGGAGGAGTGAGGAGTGAGGAGTGAGAGTGAGGGAGTGAGGAGGAGGAGGAGGAGGAAGGAGGAGGAGGAGGAGGAGGAGGAGGAGGAGGAGGAGAAGGAGGAGGAGGAGAAGGAGGAGGAGGGTAGCGTGGATAGCCCCAGCGCCCTCGGAGCTTCGCCGCGGGGGCCGTCGGGAGGGCGGGCGGAGCGCACGATGGCTGCGACGGCTGCCGCGCCTGTACATAGCGCCTCGGGCGGCCACCATTCGCTACGCCTCAGAGCGGCGCGCGCGCTCCCCCTCCTCCTCCTCCTCCTCCACCTCCTCCTCCTCCTGCTCCTGCTCCTGCTCCTGCTCCCTGCCTCCTCCTCTGCCTCCTCTTCCTCCCTTCCTCGTTCCCTTCCTCCTCCACCTCCGCCTCCGCCTCTGCCTCCGTCTCCTCCTCCCCGTCCACCGCCTCCGCCTCCGCCGCCCCCTTCTTCTCCATTTCTGCTCTCTTCCTCCCTCTCTTCCTCCTCCTTCCGCTTCCTCTCCTTCTCCATGGCTGGATACCAGGATCAGCCCTGGTTGTCCTGGATCGGGGGGTCTGGATCAAGGGCCGGCACCGGTAGTTGTGAACGATTCGAATGGTTTCCTGGGCCACCCCTATTGGTGCAGAGATGACCGCGCTTCGCGCGCAGCGGCATGGGCCCGAGAGTTGCACCTGGTCAATGTGGTCTGGCGAGGGCGCGAAGATATCCGCGCGACGCGCATCGCGTAGCGCGACGCGTGGACTCAGAGGACCCAGGTTTCCAGCGGTTCCCAAAAGGACGGAGGAGTCGGAGGAGTCGGAGGAGTCGGAGGAGGAGGAGGAGGAGGAGGAGGAGGAGGAGGGGGGCGAGGCACAGTTCGATCCTCGCCGTCGCTGCAGAGCCATACGAAGTCATACAAACGACCAGCTTTCCTTCACCCTCTCCTTCTGGCTGGCGGTGGACTTGCGGAAGGGAGGGGTCGGAGGCGGAGGAGGAGTGAGGAGGAGGAGAAGGAGGAGGAGGAGGAGGAGGTGGAAGAGAGGAACGCAGCTCGCAGTTTGAGTGAAGAGGTTTG